CAAAGCTTCTAATTAAGCAGTGTGTCTATGAGGGATGATGCACAGCAAAGGTTGGCTTTGGGAATCAAACCCGCGACCATGAGGCCTTTCAACACGGGTTTGAACGCTCCTCCCCTGGGCCGCCACCTCACCTGCAGACGACATTTTGGTCCAAAAACAGGAGAAAGGGGTAAAACGGCTAAAACCCAGAATTCATGGTCTTTGTTGATGAATGAATGAATGAATGAATGAATGAATGAATGGGAAGCTAGCAAGAGAGACTAGTTATCATCAAACCAAACACCAATTTCCAAACTAACGAAATTCACCTGAACATCAATAGAAACCAAACCGTCCACCAGATAAACCAGTCGGTAGAAACAGCCAGAGAAATGACATCCGTGATGCAAATGATCTGAAGAAGTGAAACTAATCACCCCCCCCCACTGCACTTAAATTAAGTTAAAGTAGATTAACCTTCCTGTTAAACTTCTATGGTTTGGTATGGTCCTTTTGAAGAATTGCTTTGTGAAATAGAGATGAATCTGTAACGAAGCGCTGTCTGTCTTCATGTGTCTTAGCGGTAGAAAGAGCTCTTTTTTCATCTGGTATCTCCTAAAGTTCCTCCGTCGTTTATGTTGATGTGTAATGAAAGGGAACAGACACCATCTGGTGTTTAGCTGGGGTTCGTTCTTCCTCCCAGAACCTATTAGGAAAAGGCACGTAGATCTAGAGCTCACAAACATTACAGAGTCCTCCACTGTTTGCAGCCTCCATTAGAAAATCTTAACAAAATATGACCTTCATTGGTATCTCAGCCCACTTTAACCCAAAGATAAAAGATGCCCAAGATCAGTAGAATGGTGCCTTTTACCTTAGAGCTGCTGTCAGTGTGATGGGTGTTAAGTTAGAGTCCGATGCAGGAAGTGGAAGAAAAAAGGCACAGAATGAGTCAGATAGATGTGTGTGGGTGTGCATGGAATGCCTATTTGACAAAGAGATTGGGGAGGGTTATTAGAAAGGCACAGTCCTTATTTAAAGAAGTTCAATGCACTCAGCTGAAGAAAAGCTCTCATTGAAATTCATGGCTGAGCACCTATAGCTCTGTGCTTTAAACAGACCAGTGAGAGACACAGGCAGCGTCTGACAGACTTCAATTAAAATGGAATTTACAAGAGATGGAAAGCAAAGAGGCAGGAGGTTTCCTTTTTATCTGGGGAGGTTTTTGTTCCTCTAAATGCAGTGATGGTTAGTACCATTAAATATCCTGAAACCTCGACTGGGGTCCTGAGAAGTCACCTTTGTTGTTGCCCCATTTTCTCAAGAATCAAATGCAGCTAATAGCAAAGATCTCAGACAGCCTGAAAACAGACAGAACTTCCTACAGTTCAGTCTTCAGTGCAGTGCAAAAAAAAAATGGTGCAAAATGCAGTAGAAACATTGAGTTGTGTTCCATTTCAAACAATTATAAAAGTTTCAGCCATATTGGTGGTGCAAAAAAATGGTGCATAAGTGAGATGCAGAGTCAGCAGTTCATCAGTGTGATGGTGGGGGGGAAGAAGCTGCTGCAGAACCTGCTGGTCCTGGGGGGGGGGGGGGGGGGGGGGGTAATGAGGGGTCATTGATGATGTCACGGGCTCGGGACACAGCGCTGGGATGAAATGTCTTTAATGGAGGGAAGAGGAGCCCCCATGATCCTCTCTGCTGTTCTCACCTTCTTCCAGTCTGAGGCGCTGCAGCCTCCACACCACACAGTGAGACAGCTGCTCAGAACGCTCTCTATGGTGCTTCTGGAGAAGGTGGGGAGGATGGGGGGGGGGGGGGGGGGGGGCAGAACGCTCTCTATGGGGGGTAGGATGGGGGGGCAGGAAGTCCAAGTGCTTCTGGGCCCTTTGGACCAGTGAGGTGTTTCCAGTCCGCTTGGAAAATCTATGTTGAATAATATATTTAGAAAACCGTTTCTTTGCCTAAATTAGTTTAGATTTTTATGTATATATAGTCTTTAAAATAATAGAATTGACTTTATATGTTTGCACGATTTACTAAAATATTTTAAAAATATTATTAGAATTTAATTACTAAGTTATAGCAACTTTTTTTACTCTTAATACATTTTTGTTGTTTATTTTTACTTTTCTGTAAGTAAAGATATGTTAAAGTATTTTACGTGAGTCCATGTTGCTCTATCATTTTAGCGTGGAAAGAGTCGGGGTGTGTTCAGGATCTTAATTAATGTTTTAATTTTATTATTTAGCTGCGCAGTGTTAAAATAAGCTGTTATTAGTGAAGAAAATGTTGTTTCCATATTTAAAGACACGAGTCCAATCAGTCCAGAAATGTAGGGAATCCTAAAGGGGTTAAAAAGAAAACATAAATAAATAGTTTTTTTTATTCCCAACCTTTAGTTAAATTCTTAACATATTGGCAAACCTTGAGTTCTGCTAATCTGGTTGAGTTACAGCAGAGCAGAGTTTAAATCATCCCAGTTTATGTCTCTAGACTGAACTCAAACACTGATCCAGGCTTTAGATTTGGTTTCTAATCACATTCGGCTCTTCTGGTGTTTCTGAAATCAAACACTAAAGGGGAGACAGTGAAGGCAGCACAGACACCTGGATGGTTTTACAGGTGGAAGCCATAGACCTCTTTATAAACCTGAGAAACCACATGATGTCAGCGAATACTGACTCCTGCAGAACAGAGAGAAATATAGAATAAAAACTGATATGATATTCAATGTTAGCAAGTATTTGTCTAGTTTAGTTAGATCATCTCCTGTCCTTGTGGATCTAAGCCGATATCTGATGTTTTTCTAGGTGTTAAACTCTGGAAGGTTGTTGTTCACCTCAGTGCTTATCGTCATATTTGCGCCACGCTTAAATAAAGCTGTGAAATCTCTGCTGGTCTCTGCTGAGGCGATCGGCCCGTTCCGCATCAGATCACTCCTCACCAGCCAGGAGGAGCTAAGAGGAGGCGAAGTTATTCTCCTCCATCTCTCGCCATGTCTGTCAGTCTTCCTCCTCTACATTCTTGTCTTTCTCCATCTTTGTCTTTCACCTAATTTCTCTGGGTTTTTTCTCTGTCTCCTTCTCAGCCAGAGATTCTGGGCTTTTGGGTGGAACTTTAAGAGTCAGGTTGTAATAACAAGGCTTTGATATGCTTGGATTTCATCTGTGCTCCTGAGAGACTGAGAGGGATGCAAGTTAAGGTAGATAATGAGAGGCAGAAGGATTGAAAGCAGTAGACGGATTATGAAAGAGGCTGGGTGAGAGACAGATTCGGTCCTGTGGGCTGTTATTGGGCCATGAAGTTTCTGTTTTATCTGGACCTGGTGGGGCTCCCAGCAAAGAAGCGCAGTGGGTTTGAACCTGCTGACCTCCCAGTTTAAACTCAACTCCCATAAGAGCTGGAGGAAAGAAACCGTTTCCTTCGTTCTCTCCTTTCTAATTTCTGGCAAAGACCTCCTCATGCTCTGCATCGCCAAACACATTAGCTCATCTGCCATCTCACACCTACGAACCTCAGTAAGTATGTTGCTTCACAGTTCAAAGTTCAGATGAGTTTTCAGAGTTCCTTTCTGATTTGGTATTAAATACTGACAGGGTCATCATAGTGGGAGGTTTTAACATCCATGCTGACATTGAAGGCGATAGCTTAAGAGCAGCCTTTAATGCTATCTTAGACACTATTGGCTTTGTTCAAAATGTGAATAGTCCCACACATTCTCATCTTCATACTTTGGATCTTTGGGTGACATACGGCATAGAATGTGAAGAAATAACAGGATTTCCCCCCAACCCTGTCCTCTCTGACAAATCTCTCTGAAAGTTTGCCAGAAGATTATGAATATATTGAATATCTAGAACTGGAAGTTATAGTTAATTAACAGTTCATTTAAATCAAGGGTAAAACTAATGAATTATTTTCAGTTGAATAATTATAAATATAATCTGATTACTGTTCAGGGTTTTTAGTCTCTTACATAAAAGTTTGGACTCCTGAAACCAGCTGTTTAAAATTCAGTTGTCTTTCACCAATTTAGTAAATTAGGGTATGGCTATTAGCAACGTTATTTATCACCAACCGAAAAATGTATCTCTGTTCATTCGGATGCTACTGAAAGAAGAAACACTAAATAAGCAAAATTAAATAAATGAAAGGCGAAGAGGGGTTTAAATTCCCCTCAAAGTCTGAGGAATGTTCAAGTTTTTTGGTTTAATGCATTGAAAGTGTCCTTTATAATAGCAGCAGATTAAAGGTGAATAAACCCTTAGGCAGAGATGTTCACTGCAGTCAAAACGATAAAGTTTCATTTGGTTTTATGGTGAAAAATGACCCAGGAATGCATAATGCTGTGATGAGGCTGAAATAGAAATGGGTTAGCTTATCTGGTCCCAGTTCTGGTCCGGACGGGTCCTGCTGAAACAAAGGAGCGGTTAGCTGGGTTAGCTAACAGTGCTAGCCGCTGTCTTCATACCGGTGTGACGTGATCAGTCTGTTCAGTGAGCGTTAGCATTCAGTTAAAACTCTTAAAACCATCAGCAGTTGGTGGGTTCGTTTTATAACGTTTAGCTACGGCGATTCTTCCAGCCAACAGTTGGAGCTCAGCCTCTGTGAACAGCTGGTCTCAGTTCTTGCCAGATGTTTTGGATTGGGTTCAGGTCTGGGCTTTGACTAGGCCATGTTTCTCTGTGAGCCCCTCCATTCTAGATGCTTCATTCTGTTTTAGATCGTTGTCTTGTTGGAAGGTAAATCTCTGTGCCAGTCTCAGGTCTTCTGCAGACTCCAGTAGGTTTTCTTCCAGAATGCTTCTGGCTCCTTCCATCTTCCCATCGGTTTAAACCATCCTATCTGTCCCTGGTGAAGAAAAGTAGACCCAGACTATTTTCTCTTTGCCTTTATTGTCAGAGAAGAGTTTAAACTGGGCTTTTACATTTGGACTTTTCAGTGTGTATCAGAGATTGCGTCGTAGAGCATCACTGGATAAAGCCTCTGTCTCATTGTCCCCTTCCTTTAAACAGATGGAATGAACTGCATGAACAAAGACCACGGCTGCGCTCACATCTGCAGAGAGGCTCCCTTCAAAAGCGGAGTGTCCTGCGAATGCCGACCTGGGTTTGAGTTGGCCAAAAACCAAAAGGACTGTACATGTATGTATCACCTCTGATCCCCACAGAGAAGCAAAAATGCTGCAGATATCCTAAATTAAATATTATTCTTACCTTTCATCAGATGTACTTCTCATATTTAACAGACTAATATACATATAGCAATGCAAATGAGTCTGTAGGTGAAATATGTTTGATTAAGAGCCCTAATTAGCTCTGCTAACTGATTGGCTGAAAGCAAGTTAGCTAGCAGAAACAAAAGGCAAAATTAGTGAAAGAAACTCCATGGAGGTGGAGGGATGAAAGTGTTAGAAGCAGGGGTCTAATGATGTAATATAAACTGTAACGAGAACATGAGACCAAGATACGGTCCATTTCTCAGTACTTCTGTGTTCTCCTGTGACATCATCAGCCTCAACGGTGAAAGTCCCTGGATCTTGTTCTGGCCCCTCCCTCTTTACCCAGCATGCATCAGAGCAGACTTGTCCGTTCTCCAGCTGACAGCTGTCCCAGCAACTTCCAGTTCTCCTTTCTGTTGCTGTTGTTCTATAAAAGTATGTTTTTAGATCATTTGAGGTGAGAACATTATACTTTAAGCGTCACTATATGGCCCATTTACCGATTTAGTGCATAATTTATAAAAAAGTTTAGATGTTAAAGGACCGTGGCAACCAGCCAAGCTCCGGGGCTAGCTGCAGCCAGGGCTAACGTTAGCCCTGGCTGCAGCTAGCCCTCTCTCCAGGATGGAGTCACAGCCAAACAGGAACAGACCAGATGAAGCTACTATGAGAAAAAGCAGAGAGAGCAGAACGTTAGAGATTGAACTAACAGATTCTGCAGAGTGGGAGAATAGAGATAGAATGAAGCAGAATGATGAAAAAGGGGTCCCTATGTCCTCCAGCAGTCTAAGCCTATAGCAGCAGAACTATAGAGATAGATCAGGATAACCTGAGCCACTCTAACTAGAGGCTTTATCAAGAAGGAAAGTTTTAAGCCTAGCCTTAAAAGTAGACAGAGTGTCTGCCTCACAGACTAAAACTGGTAGTTGGTTCCACAGGCGAGGAGCCTGAGAACTAAAATATCTGCCTCCCATTCTACTTTTAGAAATTCTAGGAACCACTAGTAAACCTGCAGATTGAGAGCGAAGTGCTCTGTTAGGAACATAAGGAACAATCAGATCTCTGATATCAGATGGAGCTTGGCCATTTAAGGCTTTATATGTGAGAAGGAGGATTTTAAATTCTATTCTGGATTTAACAGGAAGCCAATGAAGAGAAGCCAGGATAGGAGAGATATGATCTCTCTTTTTCATTTTCATCAGAACTCTGGCTGCAGCATTTTGGATCAGCTGAAGGCTTTTAACTACAGTTTGTGGACTTCCTGATAGTAAAGAATTACAATAGTCCAGCCTTGAAGTAACAAATGCATGGACTAGTTTCTCAGCATCACCCCTGGACAGGAGATTGCTCATTTTTGCAATATTCCTCAGATGAAAGAAGGAAATTCTAGAAACCTCTTTGATCTGGGATTTAAATGACAGGTCCTGATCAAAAACAACAGCAAGATTTTTTACTTTATTATCTGAAATCAGTTTAATCCCATCCAAATGAAGTGACTGACTAATCAGCTTCTTTTTCAGAGACTCTGGTCCAAAGACTATAACTTCTGTTTTGTCTGCATTCAGAAGCAGAAAGTTAAGAGTCATCCAGGTTTTTCTGTCTTCAGACATGCCTGTAATCTATGTAATGGGTTAGCTTCATCTGGATTTATAGACAGATATAGCTGGGTATCATCAGCCTAACAGTGGAAATTAATCCCATGCTGTCTAATAATTCTACCAATTGGGAGCATGTATAAAGTAAAGAGAATTGGTCCTAGCACTGATCCCTGTGGTACTCCACAGGTAACCTTTGAGCATGAGGAAGATCTCACATTAACATGAACAAACTGAAATCCATCAGATTGATCAGATTTAAATAATCATGACTGTTTGCTAAAATTGGAGCTGGAACTAAAGGTCAAAGGGTGTCCTGCTGGAACCGGTAATGTGGCCAGTGAGACGAATACTTGGAAAAAAAGAGAAAATAAGCAAACATCACTAAAGAATCAATCATTCAGCTGAAGCTCCATTTTGCTTCCAGCTCCCAAAGCATTCAGACTCTTTCTCTATGAGCTTGTTTTCTTAGCTTTGGCGTAATGGTGGAGAATATTGAGGTCTTCCTGTAATAAACATTAGTAACAGAACAGCTTCCAAAAGACCTTCAGTGGTAAAATATGGTGGAGATTTTATTCCAAAACCATCAGAGCATATCAACTGAAAGCGAAGGTGCTGAAGGATTCAGGAGTGGGAATTGGTGGCTCTTTACAGCTGACTTGCTTTTCCTCGCGGCTCATTCAGCGAGTGCAGCCATGGAATGCACTGCTGCTCACACTGAGGGGAAAAAGGCAGCTTTTAATTGCACTTTATTTGGCTTCATAACGCCTCTCATAGACAGTCTGTGAACAAAGCCTGAGCTAAGCGATGATGCCATCTAAAGGCAGGAGTTCAGTTCAACAAAAACTTATTAAACTCTTCAAAGCCCCGTCTCCAAACATAAAAACTGCTTTTCTTCCTTCTTCTTTGCATTATTTATTATTATCACCGATAAAAAGTAGATCTTTAACTTTTTTGTCACAAAAATAAAAAAATCTCAAAGCTCTTGTTGTGAAAATTCCCCTTTTATTGATTTCTTTATATTCTCATTAAATGAGAGTTTAAAGTTATTTAGGATAACGTGCCGATAGATGTGACCAGAAAAGACCATTTTCACAAATTAACCTAAACTTTAGATTTTAAGATACGCTAGAAAGTAAAATTTTCATTTGCTGTTTCTATAGTGACGTGTAACTATGGAAACGGCGGATGCCAGCACACTTGTGAAGACACGGACACAGGGCCGGTTTGTGCCTGCCACCAAAAGTACGCCCTGCATTCAGACAGCAAGACCTGCATCGGTAAGTGGCAGCGCTAACGGCTAAACCACAGAACCAACAATAAACTCTGAATATCTGTTTTCATTTTTAACTGATTGCGATCAAAGTGTAAAAAAGTTCTGGACAGACTCGTTTCTGCTTAACTTTCTGATGCTCATAGATTTATTCACCAACCTGAGCTGCAGAAATAACCGACATTCTAGCCCAGTAAACTAGCCCCGCCCACCAGCGGCCAGGATCACGTTTGCCTGCGAGTGGACTAGCCTCGATCAATGCCCCGAGCTCTAGAACTGGCGGGCCAATCACAACGCAGAGATGTGTTTTGAATGACAAAGCTGTGATACGCAGTAGAAGCACAACAGTAGCATGATGCACTGCGGCAGCAGCAGCTTTCAATGGAGCGCTCCTTTGAAAGTTAAAAGTTCTCTTTCTGTTGCTGTTGTTCAATAAAAGGACGTTTTCAGATCATTTGAGGCGATAATATTATACTTCAAAGCATCACTATATCGTCCATTTACTGATTTAATGCACAATAAAAAAAAGATTTTCCGCAGTTGAGAGGACCGTGACAACCAGCGGAGCTCCGAGGCTAACCGCAGCCTGGGCTAGCGGCAGCCAGGGCTAACGGCAGCCCGTCTGCAGTGACCAGGGCTAACGGCAGCCAGGGCTAACGGCAGCCCGTCTGCAGCGGCCCTCTCTTGGCTTAGCCGTGTGTGACGGACCGCTGGTTCTGATGGCGAGTTTTGACTCAGCTTTGGAATCAGTTCTGGAAGGATCAGACTTTGGGTTTTCATTGAGCAGGAAGAGGCTCTACGCTAATTCATTTTTAAGAAGGACGTATTCGCCGTTTTACCGACAGGCTGTTTGTTTCCACTCCCCCACCAGCTTCCTGTGGCGCTTCCTACGTCACAGTCAGCTCCTCATTGGTCAGAGCGTTGGCCAATAGGCACAGACCTGGTTTGAAAAACAACAGGTTGTTCTCACCAACAATCTTCCGATGTCTCATTCATCAGAGCCAGACTAGATTACACATTTAATCTCACATTTAGTCTGGATTATCAGGCTACCGACATAAATCATTTTAGTGACATTTTCTCCCCAAACTGCTGGGACGTTTGTTTTATTATTATGATGATTTTTCGAACTTTAAACCTGAACTTTCATGTAGTTGATTTTGATTGAATAATTATGTTGTTAAGTTAGCAGCATGCTGCTCTACTGCTTGCTGCTAACTGATGTCAGCAGCAGAGTTTACTGAGATCCTCTGAAAAGGTGATGAGCAACAAGTTGGAGAAAGAATAAATTCATTAAAAATATTTGACCCTTTAAATAATTTTTCTGATTAGAAACTTTGCATCAAAGCTTTTGTTAAATTCAGTTTAAAGTTTCAGCTGCTTCTGGATGGCCTTCCTATAAACGATGGCCTCTATGGAGGCTAATTTGTTTCATTTTTGTTGCTGCCACATTTTGGAAATTGAAATTTGAATAAAAAATCTAGAAATAGGTGTGAGAGTTATTTAAAATAAAATGACATATTTTAGTAATTTCATACTTGCTGTGGTTGATCTGATTGGTGAGAGAAGGAGGGAAACTTTTTCTGCGACCAATTGATGAGTTTAGTTAAATGTTTTGTAATTCAACTTAGAGATAATTTCTGTTATTTTATAGGTAAAAAAAAAAACCTTCTGAAACCAGAAAACTTTTTATTTTGCGTTGAAAACCTCCTAAAAACTACTCTGGCATTTATAGATGATTGGGAACTTATCAGGTGGTTAGATTAGCCGTAACAAGCAGAGAAACGTCACTGATGGCTGGAGGAGGGGATGGTGGATCCAGCGATCAACCAGACAAACAGGCAGCCAGCGAGTAAAACCAGCTGATCCAGTTTATCCTCTGTGCTGCAGAGAAACAGTCCATCGCTACAGAAAGCAAAGCTGTTGGTTTTAGAAACGGATTGAGGGAAAGAAGGATGTTTGTTATTGGAAGGTGAAGGAATCTGGTTGATCATTAATGATGTCTGACCCTGAAGCTCCGCCTCCGTCTGAAAACATGGTAAAAGTTTGCATCCTTTGGAGGCTGATTGGAAGCGCGCACTGGAAAGATTAATCAAATAAAAGCTTTGATGATGGATGCAGGAAATGTTGATGCAGTCAGTCATTCAGTGAAAGAATTGCAGGAAGACATGGATGAGTTTAAAATGCTCATCAGTTGGTTATTCTAGTCTTATCAGAGAAAGAAAAGGTAAATTATACGATGACTGGTTTGAGCCTCAAACCTGAATTATTTCCTGAAAGATGCTGAAACATGGACCATCTGATCTAAGTCATCTGCTTCCACTAGATCATCAACATCCAGATCTTCCTCAGTCTCTTCAGAGTTTAAAAGGCCAAAGCAGAACAGGCTGCTGCACTGCAACCAGTTGCTGCCTTGAAAGAAATACAAGATGGAGCAAAGTGAGCTGGAAGCTGATCTTGCAGCATCAGCTGCTAAAATAAAGAGCTTAGAAAGTGATGAGGTGGAGCAGAACCCACCCTTAGGTGGCGACATGAGGAATATTATCTCCCTAATCCAGACCCAGATTCCATAGAGGGTGATTTATAATTCATGCAGCTAGCTGCTAAAACTCCACTTCAACAGACGGTTTGGAGGAACTTTGATCTCCCAGGAGTTTCAGCACAGCAGAGAATGAGCGACCGGGAGAGAATGTGGACTGACAGTTACCCCCGTCCATGAAGGATTCATTAAGTCATTCTGATTCATCAATCCCTTTGGCAGAATGCAATGGAGCCATTTTAATCTAGATTAATCTAGATTAATTCCAAGATTACAGTGAGATAAATCTAGGGTTAGTCCATAGCTTCAATGGCTTCATCCTGCAGGACCTGCTGATCCACTCCAGCCCCATGAGGTCCAGCTTAGTCCTGCATTAGGAGGAACCCAGGACCAACCAAACCAGCAGAAGGTCTCAACAGGGGTCTGAGGATCTCATCTGGGTACCTAATGGCAGCCATGCTACCCCCCCCAAACCCACAGCATTACTGACCCACTGCCAAACCCTGAAGGTTGCTGATGGCTCTCCACAGTGTCTCCAGACTCTGTCCCGTCTGTCTCTGTGCTCAGTGGGAACCTGCTTAGTGAGGAGCTGAGGCAGCCAGTGGAGAATTAGCCAATCCTGGTCTTCTCTGGCCAAGCGTCCTGCATGGCCTTGCTCTGTGAGCACAACATCCATCATTTGACATCAGGCCCTCATACCATCCTCATGGAGTCGGTTTCTAACCGTCTGTGCAGATAGATCCACATCTGCGGCCTGCTGGAGGTCATTCAGCAGGGCTAAATGATGCTCCTACTGTTCCTCCTTCACAAAGGCTGAGGTAGCTGTCCTGCTGTTGGGTTGTTGTCCCACAGCCTCCTCCATGTCTCCTGGTGTCCTGGCCTGTCTCCTGGTAGCGCCTCCAGCCTCTGGACTCTACAAATCTATATTCTGGATTAGATAAGATGTCAGTTATTCTTGCATCGATAGCTGCAGCATTGTTCTGCTAAAAAACACACCTGCAGACTTTCAGTGTTCCTATCGCTGCTATAAACATTCATCATTTCCCTTCAGGTCGACTCTACCAGACATTTTTAGAAAAACAGAGTTTCTTTCCCACAGGCTGTAAATCTGATCAAACGTATTTATTTCCTGACAGGAGAAATGTTTGTTTCTCTCTAAAATCATTTTTACTACATTGAGGGAAAACTCTTTGTTTATGTGACAAACTTTGTTGATTAAAGCTCATTTAAAAGGTAACATTCCATCTTTATCTTCAATGAAATTAAAGTTTTAAAAAGGAGATAAAACAAACAAACAGTTTCTACACTGGATTAGATTGGATTAGAGATTATAGTCATTCTTTGCTAAAAGCTAAAGCTAATGGTTAATAATGAAACATTTAATTTTATTTGGCTCTTCCTATAAATGCTCTCATAGTTTATTTCTAAAGATGGGTCAATACTAAATTAGCAAAGTTTCTATTTAATCTGTCGTTAAATCAGGTTAAATATTTGACTTATAGAAACTTAAAACCATCTTAATGTTTATCTCACATTATTTTTTGCTTGTCTTATTTCTTCCCATCAAACTCTTAAAGCTCTTCTCTTTTTTATTACGCTAATGCTAATTAATGTTGACCAAGAGCTTTTAGATTTATTCAATCAGACAAATTTGCTCAGTTGTTTTCTTACAAAGAACTTTTTGGTTTTATTTGTATTTATTAAATAACTACGCTGTGAAAATAAGGAAAGAATTGTTTGATTTTTAGAAGCTAATAAAACTGAGAATCTGAGAGAAACATTTGACCATAATTGTTCTTATTTATTTATTCTCTTTTTTATTAGATTTTCTGTCAAAATATCCAAAGTTTTTAACTCTAGAAATGCCAGAATGGGTCACATTTACCTCATGTTCTCTGAAAAAAGAAATTAAACCGTTTTTGAAATTTGCTGAATTATATTAAGTTTAACATGATTGTTACATGTTAGCAGGGTAGGACATAAAACAATTGTGTTAAAGTAACTAAATATAATTAAATAAATCCAAAAAGCGGTTATTTTTTTCAGCGTTGAAGCCAAAGACTTTCATTTAAAGTAAAATAAGCTGCAACTATTAACTCTAAAACTGCTGTTTGTGCTACTTGAAAAATAATGTATCTTTTTTTTTGTTTCACCTGTGCGATGCATGCTGGGTTGATGATGCTAATGTTAGCGCTTCCTGGGCTAACGCAGGAAGGCTAACATTAGCAGAGTTGTTTTTATCGTATTTTGTTTGTAAATTTAGATGAAGCCAAACTGCGTCTCTTCCTCAAAGTTTTCCTGAGCCGTTTTACACGAGTTATCGTTCAAACTAACTGATATGATCTACTGTTTAATGTTATTAGCTAGGGCTAACACCGTTAGCAGAAGCTAACAGTGTTAGCAGAAGCTAACAGGAAATCAAACCTGGCTCGTTTCAAGGTGAGCAAAAGCAGATTTAGAGACTAAATAACACGACCTGAATGAGCTGAAATCTGAACAATATCTTCATCATTTCACCATAATTATATTAAAACCTTAACTTACACATACAGTAGAATATATTAGGGGTTTTATTACAAAAAAAAGCTATAAAACAATTTATTTTTACACAGTTTAATTTAAACAGCATCACATAAAAAATGTATAGACATATTTAAGGAAGATTGTTAAAAGTGACAATAAAATAGAATTTGTCAGAGTTAATAATGACTAAAGGATAAAAATGACTGACTGGTTGTAGAGTTACGTTAATTAACAGTAAACAATAGACTGGATCCTCTTTGACCAAAACAGGAAGTTAGAATAAAGACATCTGATATATCAGCTTTAACTGTGATCTAAGTGATTATGGGGAGAATTGTGCTCCATTATTGTTGAGAGCAAAAAGCACATTTTGTGAATTGAAGTCTGATAAAAATACATTCCAGAAATGTTTAAAAACATTTTAATCATGAAAAGATTGTTTGAGTTAATTTGCTGTTTTCTTTCTCAAATGTTATGAATGTTAGCTGATAGAATGTTTTACATTTTATTTAATGTAGAAACTGTGTGTTTTTCTTTTTTACATTTACATTTCCTTTACAACAATAATGGAACAAAATTCACTCCATATTTAATTTGTTTTCAACGCAGACAAACGATTTGCTGTTTTCTGGACAAAGCAGCTGAGACACATTTATTTAAAGTATCCTGACTGTCTGACTGTTTCCAGGAACTCTAAAGGACGTCCCTTCGTCCTTATGTCCCACTGAAACCCACGGCTGGGTGGGATTTGACTGCTGCTAATCCCTTTTTTTCAGCCTCTTTACGTGGATCATCTCACCAAGAAAAGGTTGGCGTGTGGAAAGACGCAGAGACTCGTCCTCCGGTTCCCAGTGTCTCTGTCTATCGTGTCTCTCTGTTCTCTGTCTCTGTCCTTTAAAGAGGCTCTCCGTAGTCCCAGAGACCCCTCACCTCTCTGGACCCACCTTGAACCCTCAACCTTATTTGACCCTTTTCGACATGTGGACTCTGTCCTCCTGTCCCCCTGTCCCCCTGTCCCTCTCCTCCTCTTCCTCTCTCCTGGTGATAGTTCCTGATTGCCTGTCTTGTCTGAAAATCTGTGTGAGAATCAATGTAGGTTAAAGGAAGGACTAAATCATAGATGGTAGCTCTGGGTGGGGGGGGGGGACTTTGTGGGGCTAAACAGACGTCTCAATTGCAGCCTGATCAAACCAGTCTTCCCACCCTGTCCACTTCATTTCCCATCACCATTGAAAACCTGAGCAGGAACTGCAGTAACCGAGGGGTTAACAAGTGTCGACCAAGATGGCCTCCGGGCCCCTAACCGCCCACCGCTAGCCCTGAAACCAACAGAACCTGTCACTGCATGTGTCCATTCTTATTTGTGACGCCATGTTTTTTGGTTCCCTCCTTCACTAATCAACCTGGTTGTTGCTTTGCCTTGTTAACCAGAGTTCCTGCATCTGTTCCCCTGTTTCTCTCTCCCTGATTTTACCCTTTTATTAACTGCTTATCTGAAGTCAAAGCTTATTGTTGTAGTTTTGTTTCACTGCATTGGAACCATTTCCCCCTTAGCTGTAGAGGTAGACTGGTTCTACTCCTCCTTCCTCCTCATCCTGCATACGGCAAAGGAAATAAGGATTAAATACAGTTTGATTCATGTCCACAAATATCAGTCTAATGGGGCTACTGATATAAACCGTTTGTCTTTAACAACTCAAGTACATCAAAAAGAATCGACATCAATTAGTCCAAAGATTAGCGTATATAAAAGACCAGATGAAGCTACTATGAGAAAAAGCAGAGAGAGCAGAACGTTAGAGATTGAACTAACAGATTCTGCAGAGTGGGAGAATAGAGATAGAATGAAGCAGAATGATGAAAAAGGGGTCCCTATGTCCTCCAGCAGTCTAAGCCTATAGCAGCAGAACTATAGAGATAGAATGAAACAGAATGTGTGACTGATGGGACCAGCAGACACACAGAGACGCTTACATTTTATCTCCTACTCTGACACATTTCTTTTTCACACACTCCAGCCAGTAGACCCTGTAAAGCTGGTATTCAGTAGCTTTTGATTGAACATTCAGCCAGTTAGCTGAGGAGCAGAAAGCCTCCATTCATTGCTGAGAGCGCTTCAGAGAATCCTTGGCTGGCATTAGAGAAAAAGGTAGTAAGGTAGAGGAATGGAAAGAACATGAATTGTTCCCATTCTGGCCTCCTCCTCCTCTCCCCAACTTCATAACACATCAAAGGCCTTTCTACTGGGAGCAAGTGGCCCCCATTGATAGGCTGATGCTAATGATTAAAGCCCAGACTGGTTCTTTCTCTCGCCGCCTTCATCCAATGCAGGACATGCAGGACTTTAGCTTCAGCCGGTCTGCTCACTCTGTTTTCTATTGTTGCCATTTTTCCTCCACTTCCTTCATCTTTGGGAATGAGGTTTTTAAAACATTGACTATTAAGAGCAGTTATGATTTGACCGATAGACAAACAGGCAACCAGCACTGCCCCCAGACGACCCTCTCTTCCCTTTTACATTTCTAAACCTTCTTTGCATGCAATCCATCCCAAATGTTCAGTGTGCTGCCGTCCGCCTATCATACGCCCCCCTTACCACACCCCCATCGTAAGTCCTAGTAGGACTTTCTTCCTTTCTTCCTGCCCCTGTGTCTTCTAACCCCCATCTCAGTCATCTTATCGTCTCTTTGACCCCCCCCCCTCTGTGCTCATTGCCCTCTCATGCACTGTTCTTGTGCTCCTCCTTGCATCATCGTGCACATTTCTTTGCCCGTCTCATCTGTTGGAAGCAGCTTCTCTTGAACGTGTCTTGTTTTCCTTTTCTTACATGTTAAAATGAAGAAATGATTCCCTAAAAATGAACTCTGTCCTGGAACATCTAAAACCCAACATGATTAAAAAACCCGACAGCTGCAGAGTTTATGCTGCATTTCATTCTTCTTCGCCTGTTGACCTTGTTGCCTACTGCTTCATTAACTGATTCTGATCAGTTTTATTTATTTGGTTTGGTTGTTTTTGATTTGCTGCAGGGGATGGATCATGTTTGGGGATTAACACTCTAACAGGGATATTTGGTGCCTCTTCATCGCTTCTTGCTTCTTGGCTTTGTTTTGTTTTTTTATGCACAAACGGCAAAGTTAGGGCTGCAGGTCTGGTCATTTGGGCTTCTCATTAACCTGCTGCTCACTGTTTGTCCCCTTGTCACTTGTGTTTTAGAGAAAGATGAGGCTGCAATTGAGAGCTCTGAGTTCAATGCCACGTCAGTAGCTGATGTGGACAAGCGGGTGAAACGGCGGCTTCATATGGGTAACTCTTTTCTTCCTCTTTCTATGTGTTGCCATGCCGCTTGTGCTTGTGCCCCCTCCCACTTCCACTTTCTCCTCCTTCTCCTTCTCCTCTTTCTCCCTTTCTTTTGTTTGGAAAAACATTTTGGTAAATCCTCTGGTGCACGCTGTGTCCACCCAAGAGTCCCCTATTGACACCACTGTAATTAAAACTGTTTGTGGAGGACTAAAACAAATTATTATCCTTTGCAACCTTTGTTACCTCAGTCACCAAACGTTGGTAGACTAATGATTTCCCAGACACTAACACGACACCTCAATGCCACAGTTCTCTGCTCTATTGCAATAACATCTAACCTCCGACATTAGGAAAAAAATCGTTACTTCAAATGAAAATAGTAGCGTTTCAATCATATGGTGCTTAGTGAGCGTCATCAACAATATCCGGGTAAGTAGGACGTTAAAAAGGTAAAACAATCCCTTTAAAAAGTTCTGGACTTGTTTAACTTCTCAATAATCTCAATAAGCCGAGGATTTTTACTCTTTAATTGCAAGTAAAGTTATAGACCAGTTCAGACGTTTCTCATTTATTCAAACTTCTTTATGACTATAATCAACTTTATTTCAGGCAGGTACAGAAAATTACAGATTACAACATTTATTTAGCAGGAATGGTAAAAAATGTGAGGCTTCATGTGAGGTCTAAGTCCTTTTCATAATAAAACCTTTGATTTAATCATAGCTATCACAGATTACACAATCTGGAATATTCTACGCAGAGTAACGTGGCGTATGAGTGGGTGAATTATTCACCTCCAGATTAATGAGGCCTGATCGTTAGGGATTAAAACTCTGTTCAATCTATTTCTATGCATGTCATGTCAAGGCATTTTACAGAAACAATTCAATGAGATTATAAAAGTTAGATGTATAATCTAATGAAACCCAGCCAAGTCTTTGACTTTGGAAAATTCACTCAATGTTGAGTTTATTAGTTATTTTATTAGCATATAAAAACAACATGTTGAGCAAATAGCTGCACGGTTCAGCAAAATGAATAAAAACAGCAACAAGAACAAATATAAAAGTATTTAAAGTTAAAACTAAAACAATTATATTTCATTACAATCTTTATAAGAGAAATCCAAACTGTTAAATCAAATGCCAAAGAATAGAAAAGGGTTTTAAGATTTAAAAGTCTGAACAATCTGAGAAGAGCGGACATGAAAAGGAAAACCCTGCAAACTGCAAAGGCCTGATTACATTTCAAAGTTTAACTGGAGCAAAGAATATCTAAGAGAAGCTGGTTGGTTGATCTTTTACTGCAGTTTAACTCTTAAAGAAATATGAAGGAGCCAAACCGCTAAAAACAATTAAAACAACAAAATCATTTGGAATCAATTCTAATACAAAAAGGAAGCGGTGAAGAGAAGCCGCAGATATGAGCTCTTGTTTTTTTCTACCTGTTAAAAGATGAACTGCAAAGAGGATTGATCTAGTATAAGGCATTACAGCAACCCAACCAATTCTATTCAGTTTATTTCTATAGCTCCAATTCACATCATGTCATCTCAGCTCACTTTATAGATCCAGATCAACCAGATCATCCAGTCAGATTGATTCAAAGTTTTCTATCTAAGGAAAACCAGCTGATTGCATCGACTCATTGACTCTTCAGCAATCCCTCACACTAAGCATGCTTGTAGCGACAGTGGAGAGGAAAAACTCCCTTTGAACAGGAAGAAACCTCCAGCAGAACCAGGCTCAGTGTGAGCGGCCATCTGCTGAGGCCCACTGGGGTTCAAGGAGACAGAAGCAGACATAGAAAAAGAAGCATAGATACAAAAGGCAACTGTCAACCAGCTCCACAGGCGGCCCCATCCAGGAAACACACAGCCAGGCAGACGAGCTCCGAGCCAGCTCCCATGTCAGAGGATGAAGAGAGCACATCCAGTTAGTCACAGTCAGAGAAACAGGACTACACTGGAAAACAGGCCAAGCTCCAACATCTAGAAACCCTGAAAGAGGTTGAAGGAGACAGAAACAGATCTAGAAAAAGAAACCAAGCAATATTAACAGCATGAGCCATTTTCTGAAGTCTTTGGTTGACTTCCCTGTTGTGTTTATCTGTTTATCTGCAATGGTAATAAACTGTAAAATAGGGAATTAAAGTTAAAAAAATATCTTTAAAAGTGGTAACTTATACTTATGTTTATACTTATACAGTGAGGAAAATAAGTATTTAAACACCCTGCTTTTTTGCAAACTTAGAAACCATGGAGGGTCTGAAATTGTCATCATAGTTGCATGTCCACCATGAGAGACAAAATCCAGAAATCAGAATAAAAGTTTTAGTTTAGTTTAGTCTGTGGTGCCTTTGGACAGCTCTTTGGTCTGGGCCATGTTAGTATTGTCTGGGGTGGACAGGTGTCTTTAAGCAGCTAACCACCTCAGACAGGTGCATCTAATTAAGGAGCATAAATGGAGGCGGACATTTTGAAGGCAGACTATCAGGTCTCTGAGGGTCAGAATTAGCAGATAGACAGCTGTTCAAATACTGATTTACATCTGGATCAAACAAATAAATTGTTAAAAAGTCATATTGTGTTTTCTGGATTTTTTTTTCTAGATTATGTCTTTCACCATTGAAATGCACCAACATGACACATTTATACCCTCCATGATTTCTAAGTGGGAGAACTTTCCCAATAGCAGGGTGTTGAAATACTCAGTCTAATTAGGATTATACTGACTGCAGGTGAGTTTTCTTTGTTCAACTGTGTAAAAGATTAGTTTGGTGTGGAAACGTTATTTTAAATAAAAAAGGTTTAGGAGCCACTAGCTTAAGTAATTCATGTTTGAATAATTGTAAATAGTTGAAGCAATATCATGGTATCCTGATTAATCATCCTCTTACAATCTCCTTTCTCTGGTATATAACTACTTAGTTTTTTTAATATAACTACTTAAGTATTTTAGTATTTCTTTAAACATGGTTGTGTATAGTTTGAATTATACGTAAATTGGTAGGTTAGGTATAACTTAAGAATTTGAAGCCACAGTTTCAGTGGTGGACTTTCTGATGAAGTGATTTAATTTTATAAGATATTTCAGAATATATATATATATATATATATATATATATATATATATATATATATATATATATATATATATATATATATATATATATATATAATATAAATATAAATTATAAATATCATCAGAAACATATATTGTTTATATGGGTCCAAAACTAATCTAAACCACTTTTAGTCATAAAATAAGACATATTAGAGCTCAAAGTGAACTCTAGCTGGTAATGATAGCAACAACCCTAATCCAGACATCATAGTTGAAAAAACCAATAGACCTTAATCTGCCAGAGCACGATTTATTCTGGTCTAGTGCCAGACTGGACATGTGGTCCCCCTGTTCCAGACTGGACATGTGGTCCCCCTGTTCCAGACTGGACATGTGGTCCCCCTGTGCCAGACTGGACATGTGGTCCCCCTGTTCCAGACTGGACATGTGGTCCCCCTGTTCCAGACTGGACATGTGGTCCCCCTGTGCCAGACTGGACATGTGGACCCCCTGTTCCAGACTGGACATGTGGTCCCTCTGTGCCAGAATGGACATGTGTTCCCCCTGTGCCAGAATGGACATGCTGTCCCCCTGTGCCAGACTGGACATGTGGTCCCCCTGTGCCAGACTGGACATGTGGACCCCCTGTTCCAGACTGGACATGTGGTCCCTCTGTGCCAGAATGGACATGTGTTCCCCCTGTGCCAGAATGGACATGCTGTCCCCCTGTGCCAGACTGGACATGTGGTCCCCCTGTGCCAGACTGGACATGTGGACCCCCTGTTCCAGACTGGACATGTGGTCCCTCTGTGCCAGAATGGACATGTGTTCCCCCTGTGCCAGAATGGACATGCTGTCCCCCTGTTCCAGACTGGACATGTGGTCCCTCTGTGCCAGAATGGACATGTGTTCCCCCTGTGCCAGAATGGACATGCTGTCCCCCTGTGCCAGACTGGACATGTGGTCCCTCTGTGCCAGAATGGACATGTGTTCCCCCTGTGCCAGAATGGACATGCTGTCCCCCTGTGCCAGACTGGACATGTGGTCCCCCTGTGCCAGAATGGACATGCTGTCCCCCTGTGCCAGACTGGACATATGGTCCCTCTGTGCCAGACGGGACATGTGGTCCCCCTGTGCCAGACTGGACATATGGTCCCTCTGTGCCAGACGGGACATGTGGTCCCCCTGTGCCAGACTGGACATGTGGTCCCTCTGTGCCAGAATGGACATGTGGTCCCCCTGTGCCAGACTGGACATGTGGTCCCCCTGTGCCAGACTGGACATGTGGTCCCCCTGTGCCAGACTGGACATGTGGTCCCCCTGTGCCAGACTGGACATATGGTCCCTCTGTGCCAGACGGGACATGTGGTCCCCCTGTGCCAGACTGGACATGTGGTCCCTCTGTGCCAGAATGGACATGTGTTCCCCCTGTGCCAGACTGGACATATGGTCCCTCTGTGCCAGACGGGACATATGGTCCCTCTGTGCCAGACGGGACATGTGGTCCCCCTGTGCCAGAATGGCCATGTGGTCCCCCTGTGCCAGACTGGACATGTAGTCCCTCTGTGCCAGAATGGACATGTGTTCCCCCTGTGCCAGAATGGACATATGGTCCCTCTGTGCCAGACTGGACATGTGGTCCCCCTGTGCCAGACTGGACATGTGGTCCCCCTGTGCCAGAGTGGACATGTGGTCCCCCTGTGCCAGAATGGACATGTGGTCCCCCTGTGCCAGACTGGACATGTGGTCCCTCTGTGCCAGACTGGACATGTAGTCCCTCTGTGCCAGACTGGACATGTGGTCCCCCTGTGCCAGACTGGACATGTGATCCCTCTGTGCCAGACTTGACATGTGGTCCCTCTGTGCCAGACTGGACATGTGGTCCCCCTGTGCCAGACTGGACATGTGGTCCCCCTGTGCCAGACTGGACATGTGGTC